TTTTTTTTTTTTTTTTTTTTTTTGCTTTTGGGTTATTTACAAGTGTATTGTTTACTTTTCAAGTACTTGGAAGATTTTTGGGATATGTTATGATCTTTATTATTAATTTCTAGTTTAATACTATTGGGTGAGTGAACATACTCTGTATGATTTCAGACCTTTGACATTTATTGAGACTTGTTTAGTGACTCAGCGTATCACCTGTCTTGATGAATATTTCATGTGTGCTTAAAGAGACTGTGTATTTTGCAGTTGTGGCTTTAATGTTCTAGAAATACCAGTTAGGTTGTGTTAGTGTTAAAACAGTTCAAATTTTCTTTTCCCTTAGTGTTTTGTTTTGTTGGCCAGTTCTATCAGGGGTAAGAAAAGGGTGTTAAGTTTTCAACTATTGTGGTATGTCTATTATCCCTTTAGTTCTTTGAATGTTCTTTTATGTATTTCAAAGCTCTGTTATTAAATGCATTCACATTTATGATTGTTTTATATTCTTACTGTTTGACTCTGTATCATATGAAATGTCCTTCTTTATCTTTGGTGATATTCTGTATCTTGAATTCAACTTTGCCTGGTGTTGATGTGGTCATTTTAGTTATTCCAGCATGCTTATACTAGATGTTTCATGATGTATCTTTGACTTTTTTTTTACTTTTAACCTCAGTCTTTATATTTAAAATGTGTTTCTTACCAATAGCATATAGCTGGGTATTACTTTTTTTCATCCAGTAGGCAATCTCTACTTTGTTCTAGACCATTTACAATTATTTAATTACTATTATGGTTGACTTTTTAATCTTGCTGTTTTCTGTTTGTCTGATTCTTTCCTTCCTTCCTTCCTTCCATCCTTCCTTCCTTCCTTCCTTCCTTTTTATGACTAAGTTTTTTTAGTATATATATTTATCTCTAACTCTGTTCACTTACTAGTATATATCTTTGTTAAACATTTTAGCAGCTACTCTATAGAGCACAATATGCATGTTTAACTCACCACAGTTCACTTTCAAATAATGTTGTTAGACTTCATCAAAATATAAAACTTATAACAGTACAATTGTATTCATTCCCACCCTCTGTTTGTTGTGTTTTTGTTTTAACATAATTTACTTATGATATACATATACGTTATATATATCATACACCTATTAACCATAATTAAAAGAGAGTTTTTATTTTTTTTTAATTTTTTTTTAACGTTTTATTTATTTTTGAGACAGAGAGAGACAAAGCATGAACAGGGGAGGGTCAGAGAGAGGGAGACAAAGAATCCGAAACAGGCTCCAGGCTCTGAGCTGTCAGCACAGAGCCCAACGCGGGGCTCGAACTCACGGACCGCGAGATCATGACCTGAGCCGAAGTTGGCCGCTTAACCGACTGAGCCACCCAGGCGCCCCTAAAAGAGAGTTTTTAATAAAACTTACCCACTTAACCTTTCTGTTGCTCTTTTTCCCTTTTTGCAGATACAGACTTCTAACTGGTATAATTGCCTTTAGCATGATAAATTTTGTTTAGTATTTATTGTAGTACACATCTGTCTTCTGAAGAAAAGTTTCTTGCTTTGTGTATCTGGAAATGTGTTTATTTCACACATTACAAATGTAATTAGATTTGTATATTAGATTTGTAATTAGGTCTTTTTTCCTCTGGCTACTTTTACGATTTTACTCCATATGTTTTGTTTTTATAAGTTTGACTGTGATGTGCTTAGGTGTGATTTTCTTTGCAGTTATATTACTTGGAGGTTATTTAGCTTATTTTGAATCTGTGAGTTGATACTTTTCATCAATGTAGAAAATTTGGGGACTCTTATTTCTTCAAATATTTCTTCACCATTATTTTCTCTCTCTCTTTTGGGAACTCCAGTTATATGTATGTTTGATCATTTAATGTCCGTAATTTCTAGGAACTCTCCTTTTCTCTTTTCTGTTTCATACTGGATAAATTTTTGGACCTATCTTAAACTTTACTGAGCCTATTTTTATTGATCTCACAGTATTCTGAGATCCTGTTTTTTTCTTTGTGTGTATGTATTTGTGTATTTTGCATAATGTCTGTTTAGTTGTCTTCACATTCATGAATAGTTTTTTCTTCCGTATCTAGTCTGCTATTAAATAGCCCATTGAGTGAATGAATTCTTCATTATGATATTTTATTTTCAGCTTTTTCTTTTGATTCTTTGTTATAATATCTGTTTCTCCACTACAGTTCCCCATCTCTTCATGATTCTTAACTACTCTTTTTTTATTAGATTCTATAATACATGTTGTTGTTAAAGTTTCATCTGTTAATTACAAGCTCTAGGCCAGCTGTATGTATACTTCCATTGACTTTTTTCTTTTCCTTTTGGGTCACAGTTTTCTACTTATTTATGTATCTTGTAATTTTTTCTTATATGTAGGATATTGTACTTAGGATAGTAGAGACTGAAGTAACAACTTCTATGATAGTTAAAAATCTGGTGAATTGGAAATGCTCAGGGGAAGGCAAATAAAGTAAGAACAGTGACATAATTTGTACCCTATGGGCTGGAGAACCATTAGAGTATTCACATGTTTTCCCTTTAAGAATGACACATAATTTTTTTGAAATGTCTCATACTTATAAAAGCACACATCTTGGTAGAGGTTTAATATAGGGAGAAATTTATTTTAGTATTTATAAAAAATAAAAAATGCCAATAATGTGGACATCACTAGATTATTGCAATTGACTTACAAATAGGTATTAATCTGTTCTAGAATAATTTTAAAGATAATTTCCATGATATGTTTTAAAATAGGATGTAAGTGGGGCGCCTGGGTGGCGCAGTCGGTTAAGCGTCCGACTTCAGCCAGGTCACGATCTCGCGGTCCGTGAGTTCGAGCCCCGCGTCGGGCTCTGGGCTGATGGCTCAGAGCCTGGAGCCTGTTTCCGATTCTGTGTCTCCCTCTCTCTCTGCCCCTCCCCCATTCATGCTCTCTCTCTGTCCCAAAAATAAATAAACGTTGAAAAAAAAAATTTTTTTTTAAATAGGATGTAAGCATATAGATCTGGAATTGTTGTAGATATTGACTAGATGTAATCATGGCCAAATTGAGGTAATTACTACATGGTAGCATCAGGTGGTGCTGAGATCGTGACCTGAGCCTAAGTTGGATGCTTAGCCAACTGAGCCGCCCAGGCACCCCTAGTCATCTAATTTTTAAATTAGTGGTAGATTTTGTGACAGTTTGCAAAATATACTCTATCTTTGGGAATATAGGCTGGAGAATCAACAAATATCTTTAAACTGAATTAAAAAAAATTTTTTTTTACTGTTTATTTTTGAGAGAGAGAGAAAAAAACAGCACGAGCATAGGTGGGGCAGAGAGAACAGAGACACAGAATCTGAAGGAGGCTCCAGGCCCCAAGATGTTGGTACAGAGCCTGGCACAGGGCTTGAACTCATGAGATCATGACCTGAGCCAAAGTCAGGATGCTCAACTGACTGAGCCACCCAGGCACCTGTAATTTTTCTTCTCTAGATAGTGCCTTTCCTCATTTTTAATATCCAAATCAATGGGAAAGTGTCAAATATTATTTGATTAATTAAAAAAAAATCCCTCTAGCCAAAACATAAGAGACTCTTAAAAACTGAGAACAAACTGAGGGTTGATGGGGGGTGGGAGAGAGGGGAGGGTGGGTGATGGGCACTGAGGAGGGCACCTGTTGGGATGAGCACTGGGTGTTGTATGAAAACCAATTTGACAATAAATTTCATATTAAAAAAAATCCCTCCACCTACTTTCAGTGGATTTTGGTGGTGAATATTATTGTAGGAAACTGAGTGTTTTGTTTTCTCTACCAATTAATTATAATACCTTCGCCGAATTATATACTCTCTGTGTTTCAGTTTCTCATCTATAGAGTGTAAATAGTAATGTCTGCCATAGACATCTACCTCATAGAAGACTAGAGAAAATCAAAGTATGTATATGAAAATACACAGCAGTTTCTCTGGGGCATAGGCTGTATTTTACTAATTACTGCATACTCACTGTGTCATTCAGTATGTATTTGTTGGGTTGAAAATAAATCAGTCTGTGGTTTTTTACTTGTTTTTTATGATGCCTATTATTATTACTAAGTGCTTTAAATAGTGTAAAATTTAAAAAAAAATCTCCTTAGTATACATTTTACTTGCATTTGAATTAAATCCATACATTATTTATGTTACAGTACATGGATGGGAGAGATATTATGAAAGCACATGTCAAATAACTAAATATTCTCATTAAAAATTTTGGAACTTTTTCAAGGTATACACTTACTATGATGACTATGATACTGCTTATGGTGTTATAGATTTAGATGAAGTGAAATAAGGAAGCTGTATGGTAGTATAAGTCGTGAATTTTCAGCCTGCAAACTTGTTCATATGGTATAGTTTGTGTAAATAGAAATAAATATTAATTTTTCCTATTTTAACTATAACTGTGTCCTTTTTGATTGGAGTGTTTGGACTGATTATTTTGTAAAATTAATGTAATAACTTTTTATAGAGTTTTATTTTTAACTTTCACAGGTATTATTCTGCTCTAAAAACTATGGAACAATTAGAAAATGTGTATTTTCCCCGGGTTAGTCAATACCGGTTTTGTCAGCTAATGATAGAAAATCTTCCTAAACTCCGTGAGGATATTAAAGAAATTTCCATGTCTGATCTCAAAGACTTTTTGGAAAGCATTCGAAAACATTCTGACAAAATAGGTGAAACAGCAATGAAACAGGTGAGAATAAAAAGAAAATTCTTAATGTTTAAAAAAAATTTTTTTTAAATGTCTATTTTTGACAGAGAGAGAGAGAGAGAGAGAGGCAGAGCATGAGCGGGGGAGGGGCAGAGTGAGAGGGAGACACAATCTGACACAGGCTCCAGGCTCCAAGCTCTCAGCATAGAGCCCGATGCAGGGCTTGAACTCACAGACCGCGAGATCATGACCTGAGCCAAAGTCGGACACTCAACCGATTGAGCCACCCAGGAGCCCCTAATTTAATGTTATTCAGTGGTGTAAGTTATAGAATATATCCAAAGTTTACCTTTTTTTTTTTTTAGTTACCTAAAATGCTTATTTTTGTTTAGCTTAACCCTTTTCTTATTTTTCCTGAATCTTGCTTGGAATGGATTTAATCAGCATTTTCTTTTGGTTTGCAGTTATTCTGTATTTAAGTAAAGTCAATCTAACTTGACTCACCAGCCTTTCTCCTGGTAAGTCAGGTATAATATTAACTTGTGCCAGCAGACATATTTGCTGTAAAATTAGCCAAACCACAAACAGAGGCAAATGGGATTCCTTTTATCATAAGATTTTAAATTACTGTCTCCTTAAAAGTATTATCTTTGAGTTGACAACTCCTACAGGTCAATAATAAGAAGAAAAAATAGTAGACAAGATTTGGCAGTTATAAAGTTAATGTACCCACCTTTTGAATTAGCATTCTTCCAGATAATTCCAGTGAGAAATGAAAACATGTCCTTGTGATGTTCACAGCAACTCTGTTCACGATTAGCCCCAAACTGGAAACAACCCAAAGGGGCATCAACAGGGGACTGGATAAACAAATTGTGCTGTATAAAAATATAATGGAGTATTACTTAGCAATAAAAAGGAATGAAATTACTGATATGTACAAAAACAAATATTAATCTCCTGGGCATTATGCTAAACTCCAGAAGCTGGACACACAAAAAAGCACAGGTTGTGGGATTCCATTTATATTGCAGTTGTAAAGCAGGAGAAACCAAAGAGAAAAAGTCATGGGGTGCCTGGGTGGCTCAGTGCGTTAAGTGTCTGACTTAAGCTCAGGTCATGATCTCAGGGTTTAGGAGTTCGAACCCCACATCGGGCTCTCTGCTGTCAGCATGGAGCCTGCTTCAGATCTCTATGTCCCCCCCCCCCCCACCTCTCTGCCCCTTCCCTGCTTGCTTACACATGCTCTCTATCTCTCAAAACTAAAATAAAACTTAAAAAAAAAATCAGAGCAATGGTTGCCTCTGGTTGGGGAGATTGCCTGGAAAGGGACATGAAGGGACTTTCTGGGGAGATGGAAATGTTTTGTCTTATGCTAAAAGTGCATCCACTTGTCAAAATTGTACAGTTAAGGTCTATACATCTCAGCATATATAAATCTGACCTCAAAGAAATTTGTAAAAAATAATTGGGGTGTGTGTGTGTGTGTGTGTGTGTGTGTGTGTGTGTGTGTTTGTGCACTGAGTGGGTAAAGATACATAGATGACACAAGAATGTATAAATATTAATTGTTGAAGGTAGGTGATGAGTACTTGGGAGTTAATTATATTTATCTGTTCACTTTGTTTATATTTGAAATTTTTAGTAAAAAGTTTTAAAGTGATTATACTTTAAAATTTCTTAACTAAAACTTCTAATAATCATAGTGTCATAAAAATAAAACAGTCCTCCTAATTTTTTTTCTCAAGTATTAGAAATTACTTTAGAGAAGCTTGAGGTGGGGCAGGGTAGGGCAGAGGTATGCCGACTGGGTAGCACCTGAGCTGAGAGCCAGAGAGTGCACTGCAGGTGCGACCTTTGCTTCCTTCTCCTGCCAGGGCTTCCAGAGAAGCTTTTTACTTTATTTTATTATTTTTTAAAAGTTTATTTATTTATTTTTGAAAGAGAGAGAGAAAGAGAGTGCATGCATGTGCCTGCAGGAGCAGTGGAGAGGCAGAAAGAGAGAGAGAGAGAGGGACAGAGGATCCGAAGTGGGCTCTGGGCTGACAGCAGAGAGCCCAATGTGGGGCTCGAACTCACGAACTGTGAGATCATGACCTGAGCCGAAGGCAGATGCTTAACCAACTGAGTCACCCAGTGCCTCTATTTTATTTTATTTTATTTTATTTTATTTTATTTTATTTTATTTTATTTATTTTTTTTCAATGTTTATTTATTTTTGGGACAGAGAGAGACAGAGCATGAAC